ATGACAGTGTAAATGCCCGGGTGCCGGGACACAACGTGAAGACTAATGCACGGCCCCTGGGCAAGCTGAGAGTGGAAAATGCCCCACCCCGGGGACGATTTTACAGTCGATTTCACGAAACTTTGACCACAAATGTTCCGAATTTCGTTGCGAAGTTCGCAAGTTCGTTGTGAAGTTCGGAAGCTCATATTGGAATTCACAAGCCAATTTGTAAACAAAGTCCCTGATTGGTCCGTGAAGTAAAAGAAGCCAATCAAATGCGTAGTTTACGAACTGGTTTGTGAATCTCATTATGAACTTTTGAACTTCGCAACAATCTTGTGAACTTCGCAACGAAGTTCGGAAATTTTGTGGTCAAAGTTTCGTGAAATCGACTGTAAACGTTAATTAAACTTTTAAAGCATATAATCATAGTCATTTAATAACATAGTATTAAACTGCTATGGAATATTATAAACCTTTAGTAGTTGTATTTAAATTTGCATGCAGAGTAAATTTTCGCTTTTCTTACAATAAATTTCACGCCACCTTGACCACGAGGGCGCAAACACGATCAGCGCGCCCACATGCTTGCCTGAACTAGTTTTGCTGCCTTAAAATTTGTGGGTGGGATTCTGGGCAACCATTTGTCAAATCCCTTATTTCGCTAGAAACTGGTATAATACGGTATGACACTATTCGTATCGGTTGATATTGAACTGACACAGGGGTAAGTTCACATTTCACTGATTGGAATTTGCAGGTTGGGAATTTTGCAGGTTGGAATTTTGCAGGTTGGGGATTTTGCAGGTTGGAATTTTGCAGGTTGACAGGAATTTTGCAGGTTGATGACGCAAACTGAAAATTACACTACTATAAAGTATTCTAGTATAATTTTATTGTGTACTTATTGCAGTCTGACTCCTTGTCGCCGCTTTTGATATCAGCCTATCCTGCTACCATGTTTCTAGCCTCTGCTCATCACACATGACGTGGTGGCAGTTCAGAAAATGCCTGAATGAGGTCTTCCCTGCACCAACTTATGAGACCACTCAAGCCCCCAATTACCGTATCATTACTCGAGAGTTAGTTAACTTTTAACAACATTCTAGTATAAACACCACGACATCATGTAGGCACCTCGCAACAATCAAAACATTCGTCCAGGGGCGTAGGAAGCTTCTAAAAGTTGGGGGGGGGGCCAGGCTTTGAGGGACACTTGACGAATAAAAAAGGGCATCCAAAAATATTTTTTCCGGATATATCCAATTTCCCTAAATATGAAAAAAATGTTCCGGAAATACCAAAAAAATTTTCAAACATGTCATATTTTTTCCGGAAATGAAAAAAAATATTCCGGAAAATAACATAAATTCAAGTTTCGAAAAGTGCGCTTTGGGCAAAAAAGGGCAATCCTTAAAACATTTTTAACACAAAAAAGGGCACTTTTTGCTGCCGGAAAAAGGGCACTTGGCAAAACTTGGGGGGCCTGGCCTCCCCTGGCCATCCCCGGTTCCTACGCCACTGCATTCGTCTCCCTGTAGGTCCAAGCCAATCTGGTCATTTTGAATGTTTTCACTGGGGTGTGGCCACTAGCCTTAGAGCAGAGGCGCCGACAAGGAGTCAGACTGCAACAACCTGCAAAGTTCCTGGCAACCTGCAAAATTCCAACCTGCAAAATCCCCAACCTGCAAAATTCCAACCTGCAAAATTCGCAACCTGCAAAATTCCAACCTGCAACCTGCAACCTGCAACCTGCGTTTTGTACCTGCCGATGCAGAAACCCTCGCCATGCTGACAAAATCATTGTATTTTCCGAACATGAAATATCTAAAGTAGTTGTCATGTTACACGATAATTTCTTAAGAATATTCTTACAAATCAAAAATCGCTTAAAAATATCACTTTTAATTACAAAATTATAAATTTCCCAACATATATATGTTAGGTATGATATTATACGTAATATAAGCTTCAATTTAAGGTAAAATTCAATCACAAACGCTTCGCAAAGCGTTTTAAAGTGTTCTTTATAAAACTAAACTGCCTTTATTCTTTAATTAAATGGCTTTATCGATAAACATTGAGTTTGCAATAAAATGATTTCAAATTCTCGCATGCAAATAACTTTGCTTTCTTTTTTATTTAAAAAAATTCAAAATAATAAAAAAGGGAATCAATATTAAAGATACCCTGAAATGGGACCCGATATGCTGTCTTGTTTAGTTGTTTCATATACGCAAAGGCCGTCGAGTTTTAAAGCAGTTATAAAATCAATATTTAAAACAAACTTACCTTTGTTAACGTCGGCTCCCTTCTTTTAGCCGATTCTTTCGCCATTTCTTTCTTGAAATTTACAAAATCTTGCAAAAATGCGAGCAAAAATGAAATATATTTGCAAGAAATTTATCAATCATCAAATAAAGAAATGTTTGCTATTTCGCTGTCGTCATCATAGGCAGCCCAAAACGGCGTGTAGAATGCACCAATAATGCTTCCAAATGTCAATTTGCATTAAGTTCGCCCCATTCCTTTGTCATTTGTCGCGCGCCGCAAGCACTCAATTTGAAAAGCAGTGTTGATATATATAGATTATACCTAAGGTTGGCAACTATATCTCAACTGACGAATATACCACTTCGGCAGAACGCAAAATACTCCGTATACGTAAATAAAACATGATAAAAAATTATACCACATTGAACTCTGATATTTTTTCTACATACCCGCATATAAATTTTGTTTTCAAGACTGCAAGAAAGATGAAAAATTTGCACAAACGTTTCATGGTCTGATGAAAATTTTGATGTGACTATGCGGGATGCCAGAGGTTATTTCATTCGTCATATTTTTAAAAAAATTATGTGATTCAATTGGTTGAAAAAATAAACAGTTTGTGATGTATTTATAGTAAAAATTTGGTTTTAGGGGGGGTTGCACTACAACAGGAAGACTGCTAAAATACAAGAGCGATTTTTTTTCGAAGATGAAATGGTGGATTTTAAAAACTTTTTACATCCATCCATAACTTTTATCTACAGTAAAACAACCAGGTAACTTTTGGCTACATGTACACGAAATGTCATGAAATTCTGAGCAATAATGGCGAAGAAAAGGTGCTATAAAAAAGACGGCGATATGTAATGCGAGCACGCTTCGTTGTGAGTTGTGAACCTTGCTCGACAAAGTGTATATAGGCAGTGAATTTAGTTATAGCGTTTTAATTTAACTTGGTTCAATAAGTTGGATAAATTTTTCCGTTTAATACTGAGTGAATGTGTTCACAAAATAGGCTGCAATTTGTAAGAGTGCTAGCATTATTTTATACCGCAGCATTCCCCAGCATGGAATTTTGCATTTATATATAAACAACCTTGTATCGAAGTTCTGAAAGTTTAATTAATATGTATTCTATAATAAATGCCTAAACATCTCCCTAGTTTAAACTTTAAAGTACACGTTAGTTAACAAAAACTAGTGACTGTATCTATTGCTGTGAATACGTACTGTCTTTCACACTGATGATAAATAAAACAGGCCAAAATGCAAATTTGTTTTCATATAAAAACAGTTCTATCACATGGCACCGAGTCAGGAGATCCCATGAGATAGCACGGCGCATGCGCGGGTTCATTGCACGCCTCGTGTGGGTTCGAAGCGGACGAAGAAAAATTTAGAGAAAAATATTTCAAGTTAATTCAAGAAGATTAAGTATCGCTGTGATAACGGCCAAACCTTGTTTTGGCCCAAGATTACTCAACCAGAAACCAACGTAGTTGTGTTCATAGTGTGCATATAAAATGGCCGATGGCAATGCACCGGTTGAGAGAAGGCAAAGAGAAGCCAGCTCTAGTCCTGGCCCTGTCGGCGACACAGTCTCGCCTCTCACCGAGTTTATGGAAGAAATGAGAGAATTCAAAGCCAGCATGGCCTCCGAGATGGCATCCGTGCGTGGCGAAATAAATAATTTCACCTCTACATTTGACGACTCTACTTTTGACGACGAGCTTCGCCTGGACATTGACGAAGGACAAGGTAGCGACTCGGAAACTGTGTCTACATGTCTTGACACTAAAGTTGAACGTCTCCTTAAGGAAACCAGCAAGACGACAAGTAGCGAGGATTTGACGACAAATTCAGATAGCCTCCTTACAACAAGAGCTCGATGTTAGTGAACAGATGGGCGCCGCTGTTCAGGAGCGTCTTGCCTCCATAGTCGAGGGCCTTTTGAGCACCAAATTATCCGATGAGAAATGGCGAGAGAAAGTTGGGAAGTATCCCCGACCCCAAAACTTAGAAAATCTAAGAACTCCCAGAGTTAATCCACTTATATGGAACCAACTCTCTGCTGGGGTTCGGACCAACGACGCCAAACAACAGCGAACACAGCATGCTCTCGTTGGCGCCATAGTTGCCATGACGCAAGCGGCGGACCACGTGCTCAAAAGCGGAAATCCTGATGCAACGCTGATAATATCTTTGACAGATGGCATTGCAATGGCTACCCAGTGTCAACATGATATAAATCAAGCACGTCGTATTGCTATGAAACAGGACATGCACACAGATTTTCAAGCACTGTGCAATGTTCCAATTCCTAGTGGGGAATTTTTGTTTGGCGACTTGTCCAAACACACCAAAGATATTGCGGATGCAAACAAGTTGGCGAAGAAAGTTCGCCCATACCAGACTGCTACTGCACGAAGCAGACAGTCTAGTTCTGGCACTTATAGCCGGTTTTCTACTGGGCAATACAGACGTGGCCACCCATATCAACGACGTGAAAATTTTTTCGACCGAGGTCGGTTTCACAATGCAAAGAAAAAGAGAGGGGGAGCTGCAAAAAAGCAGTAAATTCCTCAATAACACAACCTGTACATAGTAAGGTAAGAGAAACTGTCAGTTTATATTCATTGCATACTGTTGATTCGTCTGACACGTCAATAATTGCTGGACGTTTAAAACATTTTGTTGATCGATGGAGGCAACTGACCTCAGACCCAGTCATATTGAACTATGTCATGGGTGTTAACATTGAATTTAATGATCAACATCCCAGCCAATATGCAGCCAAAGTTCGCCATTTTAACATGAGTGAAACTGCAATTATTGGAAATGAGATTAATAAGCTTCTTAGCAAGGGGGTTATTATTCCCTCCATACATGAGCTAGGTGAATTTATTTCATCAATCTTTCTCAGACTTAAAAAAGACGGCTCATATCGTATGATACTTAACCTCAAGTCTTTCAATGAATTTGTGAAGCATCGCCATTTTAAAATGGACACTTTAGATGCAGCAGTAAAAATGATGAAGCCAAATTGTTATATGGCCTCTATTGATCTCACTGATGCCTATTATATGGTGCCAGTGCATGCGGCAGACCAAAAGTTCCTAAAATTTGAATTTTTGGGTCGCCTCTATCAGTATACCTGCCTTCCAAATGGACTCTCGAGTGCTCCACGTTTATTTACAAAATTACTAAAACCAGTATATTCTACCCTACATACGGTATGGGCCATATGAGTTCAGGGTACATGTGATAGAATTCCAATCAAACTTCAACTTACAGGTAAGTCTCGTTTAATTTTCCAATTTTATAGTGATATAAAAACAGTTTTACAGAATTCACTTCATATTCTTGCTATATAGCTATTTAAAATTATAACTACTGTAGAGATCCAGTATTTAATACTGAACACTTGATTACTAGGAAAAATAAATGATCCAACCTATTGTTCCGAGTTACAGTATTAAAAACGCTATAAAATAAGTTCATACCTATAACTTTTCTGAGCATCACAACGAAGCGTGCTCGCATTACATATCGCCGTCTTTTTTATAGTACATTTTCTTCGCCATTATTGCTCAGAATTTCATGACATTTTGTGTACATGTAGCCAAAAGTTACCTGCGTTGTTTTGATGTAGATAAAAGTTATCAGATGGATGTAAAAAGTTTTTAAAATCCACCATTTCATCTTCGAAAAAAAATCGCTCTTGTATTTTAACAGTCTTCCTGTTGTAGTTCAACCCCCCTGAAACCAAATTTTTACTATAAATACGTCATAAACTGTTTATTTTTTCAACCAATTGAATCACATAATTTTTTTAAAAATATGACGAATGAAATAACCTCTGGCATCCCGCATAGTCACATCAAAATTTTCATCAGACCATGAAACGTTTGTGCAAATTTTTCATCTTTCTTGCAGTCTTGAAAACAAAATTTATATGCGGGTATGTAGAAAAAATATCAATGTGGTATAATTTTTTATCACATACTTGTACCTTTATCAGGTAGGAAGCAGCGGGACATAAAAACGATATCGTCCCGGATATCGTTTTCTGTCCCGGATATCGTTTTTTGTCCCGGATATCGTTTTTTGTCCCGCTAAATTTCGCGCCTTGTCAAAACAAAGATGGCCGACTCGAGGTTCGTGTTGGTTGATGTCGACAGTTTTATCGAAGGAAACAAGAACGATAATACAAAACGAAAGACTTGAATTGTATATTATTTATATGAATTGTCTATTTATTTTCTAAAATCGTATTTGTTCAGTAAATGATGATTTTTTTTGAATTCTAAAATGATCCTATTTTTTCAAAACTGTTTACTTTTGGGTGTCAAACCCTGATAAAGGTACAAGTATATAATAAATAGGTTATCGTACTCGGGATTCGGTGATATCAGTTTTATCGCTCTCGGGACGATATCACAATTGTCCCTCGCTCGCTCGTGACAATTGTGATATCATCCCTCGAGCGATAAAACTGATATCACCTCATCCCTTATATGATAACCTATATTTATCATGTTTTATTTACGTATACGAAGTATTTTGCGTTCTGCCGAAGTGGTATATTCGTCAGTTGAGATATAGTTGCCAACCTTAGGTATAATCTATATATATCAACACTGCTTTTCAAATTGAGTGCTCGCGGCGCGCGACAAATGACAAAGGAATGGGGCGAACTTAATGCAAATTGACATTTGGAAGCATTATTGGTGCATTCTACACGCCGTTTTGGGCTGCCTATGGTCGTCATGCAGTCGTTATAATGCAAACGTTAAATTGGACCAATCACAGTGTTCGCTATTCATGACAGTCCGCCATATTTTTGAGATCAGTGAGGATGACCACCCACGGTTGGAGACCCACGCCCGCGATATTTGATGAACTTTAGACTTCGCTAATGCTTTCGTTTCCCCGGGTGTAGATAGCCGGGGGGAATTAGTACCCTCGCACGGCGCTTCGCGCCGTCGGCTCGGGGATTAATAGCGAAGGCATTATGGCATTAGCGAAGTCTAAAGTTCATCAATGATCGCGAGCGTGGGTCACCAACGAAGTTTCGGTGTGGGTCATCCTCACTGATCTCCCAATAAAGCGGACTGTCATGAATAGCCAACACTAATTTGTCCAATTTAAAATTTGCATTATAACGACTGCATGAAATAGCAAAATAGCAAACAGCGCAATAGCAAACATTTCTTGATTTGATGATTTTTTGCAAATATATTTCAAGGCGAAAGAATTGCTAAAAGAAGGGAGTAAAGGTGCCGACGTCAACGAAGGTAAGTTTGTTTTAAATATTGATGCATTGTTTGCTTTTAACATACTGTAATTACGTTAAAAGCCGATCGTTGCCAGATTGCGTATAAATATGAAACAAGACAGCATATTATTTCAGTGTTTCTTTATTGACTACCTTTTTTATTATAATAAGCAAATTTATTTGCATGAGAGAAGTTGGAATCAAAGTTTATCGATATGAGACAGTTTAGTTCTATATAAATACGATATTAATTTAAAGAGCACTTTAAAACGTTTTGTGAAGCAACGTTTGTGGTTGCATTTTACCTTAAATTGAAGCTTATATTACGTATAATCAAATACCTAACATATATATTTGTTTGGGAAATTGATAATTTTGTAATTAAAAGTGATATTTTTAGGGGATTTTTCATTTGTAAAAATATTCTTAGAAAATTATCGTGTTACTACCATGACAACTACTTTAAATACTTCACGTTCGGTCAGCAAGGCGAGGGTTTCTGCATGCATGTATTTTCTAGTATATATCTTGCAATAAAAGATTGCTTATGTTTCTCGATTCTAGATGAAACTGTATAAGAATGATTTTGTCTAAGTTTATATGGGTATTCTCTAGGAGCAGGCAATAAGGTATGGCAAGGCTGGGTTGGTTCCGCTTGAATCCTTCTGATCTCTCGGATGGTTGCTAGTTCACGCCTGCTTCTTAAAGAAGGCGGGCAGCCTCAATCCAGATCAAGAATTTTCAGGCTCCTTGTCTGTACACGTTCAATTTCTTGTTGCAAATATTCTGGAATTTATGCATGTTGTCAGCCCAACCTCTGTTAGTAGTTTTAACCAAAATTCACCACCTTTTAAAATGTAGTCGCAATGAGACATCTTCTGAAAAATAGCACCTCTTGTGCCACGAGATTTAACGACAGACCGTTTAACTCAGGAGCTCCCAAAATATCACATTTCTCATCTCAAATGTCCAAAGAAGAAAAGAGTGTTCGCATTTTTTGACAGCTATTGTATTCGCTTTGATATAAATCAGACAATTTGACTTATCTTGCGCGGGGTATAAGCGGTTGAAGAGATGCTTCTAAATTGAAAAATAATGTACTAAATCGAAAACGCGAACAGACTTTTGTTCCTTCATTATTGATTAACATTGTGGTCAAGTTTGGGACGAATCGGAAAAAACGCTCTGTAGTTAAACTCTGTTTTGTCCAGGAGATTGGGTAATTTTGCTTTCTCTTCAAACGACCATATAAGATTTGGCGAGGTTTCCACTCTTTCTGTCATTTTCTCCGCCCCCAATGTTAATGCACTTGTGACCTGTTGCGGTTAACCATGCAATCGCAAACAACCAAATTTTAAAATTAATAACTTTAATATGTTTGGCGTGGTGTTTATCATTTATTCACCAGCGAAGCGCAAAAATACAATTAGTAAGGAAACGTCTAAGCCAAAACGCAAACGCCGTAGAAAAGTCGTGCATCATGGCTTGAAATTCGAGAGATTCTGTAAATACTATATTATAAGCTTTCTAAAGTTGTCGCAATGATATATGCCTCCGAAAAATAACAAACCGCTTATACTTTAATGAATTTCACACCTTGATATTTGCCGACGACAGCAAAGTTGAATCATATAATCGCAAGTTATTCGGCTATTGAAGCTATTCAGTGGTCATATAGCATTTCCCCCTGTATCTCGGTCGATTTTTAACATTTTCTTAAAAACGTTTCTGGAATTGAGAGATATATCATTATTTAATATGAATATATAAAAAAAATTTCTGACAAAATCAGAGTTTCATAGGAAATTATTTCCAGGACTTTCAAGGACTTCTACTGATTTTCAAGGACTTTCCAGTCCTGGAATTTTTTTCCAGTTCAAGGAATTTCAAGGTACGGACCCTTTGCCCAGCATGACCGCTAGCTTCGCCACTGACTTCACTTTGGGTGGATAGTGAGCACATTGCAGGATTGTATAAGGTTTGTATCAGGCTGTATTTGTAAAACAGAGCTTCATAATTAGGCTGTTCCATTCGCAAGATATAACATCGTTCCCGACAAATATATCCAATAAAAGTTGGTTCTTTTGCATGACGATCCAACTCTTGGCAAAAACCACATTGCAAGTTTGTATTATTCACATGTTGCCTTGCTTATGTTTCACTAATTTTGGAAAATTAGAAAAATGCATGTTGCGTTTCATACAAACATGCTCTCCAGTGACTTCGTCCATGAAAACATGTTCAGGTATATCTTGTGGCTGAGTAATTTCTTTATGACAAGTGTTACATAATAAATGTGTTGTTTTTTTTGAAATAGTGGACTTTTTCCTCTAGAAAATGTCTTATTGCAAAAATCACATTTATGAGGACTGTCTCCAGCATGTTCTGCTAGATTGCTTGACCGAGAAAATCTCGTCTTGCAAACATCACATTTATAAAGCTTTTCTCCAGGGTGTGTTCTTTCATGTCTTGTTAAATTGCTTGATGTAATAAATTTCTTGCCACAAACATCACACTCATAATGTTTTTCTCCTTTTTCTTTTATGGGTTGCTAAATAGTATGACAGAGAAAATGTCTTCTTGCCAACATCACGTGCATTCATTAGGCTTGTCCTCAATGTACGTTTTTTTATGTCTTATCAAAATCGTTTGATCAAGAAAATTCCATCTTACAAACATCACATTCATAAGGCTTGGCTCCATGCGTCTTTTTATGTGCTGCTAAATCGCATGAACGAGAAAATGTTTTCTTGCAGAAATTACATTCAGAAAGTTTATCTGGGGCTGCGCTGTGTGTTCTTTTATGTCTTGTTAAATTGCTTGATTTTGAAAATCGTTTCTTGCAAACATCACATTCATAACGTTTGTGTGTTTTCTCTTCATTCGCTACGTCCACGCTGCTCGATATTGAAAACATTTCCCCACAGTTATCTGACATCAAAATAATTTGACTACACATACTGTAGTAACTAAAAAATCCTAAACATGTTCAAATGATTGAACGTTCACCACTCAGTGTTAACCACCAAACATTAATTTTAGAAAAATTAGAAACATTCGCTTCAAAGATGAAAAAGTATGGTTAAATTGTCCTTGATTCTTTTCACTGTTTCAATCGATGCTTTTCCAGCGGCAGCGTTGTGCAAAATTTCACTAGACTATAATGGAAATGATAATCTAGTCAATTAAAATATGAGCGATCTCGTCCCCAGCATAGGCTTTTCCCAATTGTGCTACCACATTTTTTTGCATAATAACGAGTATATTTTTGGCACTTTTTACGAAAAGAACACTGACAGCAAATGCTGGCAGAATGGACCTTTAACCTTATAACTAAAATTTTGATCTATACAAGTCTAGACAAAAATTTCACAGCTTGAAAGACCATCATTATCACAGCTTGAAAGACCATCACAAAAATAGTAATATTCCGAAGTTTCGTTGCGAAATTTCCCGCGCGTAATACAAAATGACTGAAAAACGGCAAACTTTGCAAGGCTATATTATCCGCACTTTACAACATTTCGCGACGAAACTTCGGAATATTACTAATTTTGTGATGCTCTTTCAAGCTCTTGTCCAGAATTGTCTAGATAAAAATTTTAGTTATAAGGTTAAAGGTCCATTGGCATATTTATATAACTTTCAGAGCAAAATATTAAAACCATGACGATTGACAAGTTTTATACATTTATTAGACTTAACCAGGAATAGCTGCCAAAAATGCAAGTCCCTGGCAGGAATCAAACCTGCGGACCTGCAATTCCGATGCAATTTATTTTTGGATATCTGGTCCGGATGTAAACAATATCTGATCTAAGATCAGCAGCGACGTAGCGATCATTGGGGGGTGTAAACCACCCAACTATGAAACTCAGGTAAAATTCAAGTTTACATTTTGACATTTTCAGGTAAAATTTGCATAATAAAGTCGTTATTTTTCTCAAATGATAACCATTTTTTTGTAAAGTACAGTCAATTTAGATCCAATTCGTTTGCGAATGTGCTTTAGAAAACGCCAGAAATGCAGTCCTGGATCTTCAAAAAATGTAAATATTTTCTGTTGGAGGACCTCCAGACCCACGTTTCTTCGGACACTTAGAATGACATGCAAATCAATCAGATAAAGCTCGATTACAATTATCACACTAGGTAGAAACTACCTTCCCAGACTAGTTTCCAGCACCCTCTGCTAAGTGGTACATATTACAAAACCTAATTCCCTCTTTTAATATGAAAGATAGTCTGCTGGCACATGATCATAGTTTACAGTATGTCTGTTTATAAAACGAGACCCCATGCAGGAGTCAACCTTTTAAACGATTATTACACAAGACAGTTCACACTTCAAAGACTAAAAGACCGTCGTATAATACTCGTATCTGTGACTGAATATCAAAGATTCGTAGTTTGTAACCAAATATTTTGCGATTGTGAATCACAGCTTGCTAAAATAGTAGAAAGTTTTACACTTTACCAAGTGTATTGCACTTTAGGAAGTTGTTTCATTAACAAATAGAGTGTCAGTTTCATCTTTATGCTTATCAATTTCATATCAAATGAGATAAAGTCCAAATAAAATTGAATACGAAAATTCGTCTCTTTTCATATTCAAGTGTCGTCTTTTCCCACATTTCTCGAGGTTTTAAAATTTGTTTGTCGTCTTTCACGGCCGAGAATAAGCACGTACGACTTGCATATCTTTGTCAAAATGGTCAAAGGTAGTAAATGTATCTCGAAAACATTTTAAAAAAGGATTCAAAACCACGAGAACTATATTATCTGCAAAACTTTTTTCAAAAACCAGGGAGGGGGGTGAAAACGGCCGTGGGCTCAGAAATGAGCCTGGTCAGTGGTACCTACCATGAAAATAAAGTAGGTGTTGTCATGGAAATGGCGTAGGTGAGTTGACAGTCGCAGGCACACAGTGCAAAGTCGCCCAGAAATAAAAGACGATCACATACAATCAAAGTAGGCAAGTAAATATGATTTTAAAATATAAAATTCATTCCAAATTTTACTGTGTAGTATATTCTACATGTATAATGATATATTCACTATACACTAAAGCCCCGTTTACACTACGCTCAATTTTTGGTACGGCACGGATAAAATTGGCACCCGTACCACGTACCACGTACAAAAAGTGGTACGGTACCAAAAATTGAGCGTAGTGTAAACGGGGCTTAGCTAAATAGGTAGTCCAAGAACCAAAAAAGTGGCACGGGTACCAATTTTATCCGTGCTGTACCAAAAATTGTGCGTAGTGTAAACGGGGCTTAATACACGTCTGGGCCGCCTGTGGTTTTTCGTATCTCTGAGGATGGTTCTGAAGTTTCAGCAGTCCGAGTAGCATTGTTTACAAGCAACATTGTTTGCGATATTTCAGAAATCAAAAGATCTCTATATTTCGTTACACATTTCAGACTCAGTATTAAATACAGTGCATAACAAAAGAAACAGCAATTCATCACGAACTTGATAATAATTAGGAATGTGTCCGTGTAGTTTAATGAAGTGAAATTCATCAACTTAATTAGTCCTAAAAGGGGTTATTTTCAATGGTTTAAACAACTCTCAACGGTGCAAATACGCGATACTAACTAACATATTATATCGCATTCATATTTGCTCATTTGTCATCCATTTCGCCTGACGTACATATCATTCAACAGCTAAAAGACCGATCTTACCGAATATGAAAAAATCTCGGTCATACGTAGAGTAGTTCAGATGTTATAGCGCACTGAAGTTCGATTACTTTTTTGATACTCCCTGTAGATGGGAATTGTCGAGTGCACATTTATATACGTTTACTAGACCTATCCAGGAACATCTGCGAAAAAATGCGACCACAAAATCTCGATATTTCTTCTTTTACTCTCCTTTGTAAAAGCGGTTCCGGTGTCAGGGGAAGATATATGTTTGCAATGTTGTCTCTGAGTGTGTCCACACGGGCAAGCTGAAAAGTTTGTTTTGACCGCGGTGGGAATCGAACTCGCGACTTTTGGTTTTCTAGTCTAATGCTCTACCAACTGAACTACGAGGTAAGTCGGCTCGAGTGCGTGATATTTCGCAATTCAATCTAGGTCCTTCGATGTCAGTGGGTTTCTAAAAATCATAATTGTAGAAATCTACTGATATCAAAGGAACTACAGTGTAGACTGGAAATAGTTAAGCACAAATAACTTGCATGGAGTGAAATTGTACGGTGTTCTGGGATTTTTTCGTAAATAGTTTTGCAATCATACCATCACTTTCGTCCATAAACTTATCAACAATAAACAGATTGCGTGTTTCAGGGTTGGTCGTATCCAACAAATTTTCAGGAAAGCCTTGTGTGAATTTGATGTGGGGTATTAAAGTTTGTTTACCCCCAATGTTTTCTGGAGCTTTACCAATCATGATATCAACATGAGCCAAAATTAAGTTTCTTGACAAATGTTTATTCTGTGCTGCCAGACACGAGAAGACCGAACTGATGTCTTAACTGTATGGAGTACATATTTCAAATGAAATCAAAATGCTTTGTACGTTCCTGTTTACGCTTTTTAGTGTTTTCAATTAGTGTGTATGATTCCGCTAAAACTGTTTCCAAGTCTAAATTAAAGTGTACCAACCTTAGCACGAATAAGAAAAGGTTGTCTTTGTGCCGAGGAAAGTTCATGTATGTCTGCTACATGAGTAGACACCTTCAACAAATTTCTCTTACCACAAATCGGACAGTGTTTCCGCTTTCGAGGCATGATGTAGAATAAAGACGTTGCTTGACTCCCGTCTCTTATAAGTTCTGTTCCGGGTGTCCATGATATCTCTGAGGGACACTTTGTGTCCCTGGGGCATTTTGTCCCGTGCGGGACATTTTAAGTCCCCGAAACTCTGCATGGGAGTGATGTCCACCCCGGAGAAATACATAACATGTTTTGAAAAGATGTATTGACTATTTACACACTAAAATATAATTATGACGTCATGCGTGCGCACCCTCCTCCGCCACAACAATCCACCACCACACTCCACCACCGTACTCCTCCACAACACCTCTCCACCACCACAATCCACCACCCCACTCCACCACCACACTCCTCCACCACACTCCGTCACCAATTACTACAAACAGTTTAATTAAGGCCTCAAGCAGTACCCTTTAGTCTACTTTTGTCATGCCATGAGTGATCATGTGATCTTCAAGTTTCCTTGGAACGTCAAATTCAATGTCACAGACAAAACAAATATATCCAATACCAGTTGGTGCTGTTGACTCCAATTCCTGGCATAAACCACATTGAAAGTTTGTATTATTGCCATGTTGCCTTGCTATATGTTGCACTAATTTTGTAAAATTGGAAAAATGCATGTTGCATTTCATACAAACATGTTGTCCAGTGACGTCATCCTTTAAAACATGTTCTTGTATATCTTGTGGCTGAGTAATTCCTCTATGACAAGTGTTACACAATAAATGTGATTTCTTGTGCAATTGTAAACTATGTCCTCGAGAAAATTTCTTATTGCAAACATCACATTTATGAGGTTTGTCACCAGTGTGTGTTCTTTTATGTCTAATCAAAGCATTTGACCGAGAAAATCCCCTCTTACAAACATCACATTCATAAGGTTTCTCTCCAGTGTGTGTTCTTTTATGTCTTATCAAATCATCTGACCGAGAAAATCCCCTCTTACAAGCGTCACATTCATAAGGTTTCTCTCTAGTGTGTGTTCTTTTGTGTCTTATCAAATCATCTGACCGAGAAAATCCCCTCTTACAAACGTCACATTCATGAGGTTTCTCACATTGATAATGTTTCTCTCCAGTGTGTGTTCTTTTATGTGTTATCAAACCATCTGACCGAGAAAATCTCCTCTTACAAAGATCACATTCATAAGGTTTCTGTCCAGTGTGTGTTCTTTCATGTCTTAACAATTCATCTGACCGAGAAAATCCCCTCTTACAAACATCACATTCATAAGGTTTCTCTCTGGTGTGTGTTCTTTTATGTCTTATCAAATTATTTGACCGAGAAAATCCCCTCTTACAAACATCACATTCATAATGATTCACTCCATGTGTCCTTTTATGTGCTATTATCAAATCGCTCGAGTGAGAAATTAAATCCGGCCTTGATTTTGAAAATCGTTTCTTGAAAACATCACATTCATAAGGCTTGTGTGTTCTCTCTTCTTTTGCTACGTCCAAGCTGCTCGATGTTGAAAACATTTCCCACAATGATGCGACATATAAATTTAACAAATGACAACACGTGTTGACTAGTCAGTATTGCAGGAACTAAAAAATCCTAAAGACTAAACACGTTGAAAAGAATTAAGATTCACCACTCAGTGTTCACCATCCAGCAGTAATTTTCGATAAATTTGAAGCATTTGCTTCGACGAAGGTTCAAAAGATGAGCAAGTTTGGTTAATTTCAAATGCCCTTTCACGTTTCAAATACAATCGATGCTTTGCTTCGGCAGTTTTGTGCAAAATTGCGCTAGACTATAATGGAAATGATTATGAATTCCGCTGACAGTCAATTAAAACACGAGCAAACTCGTTCTCAGTGGAGGACGGACAAGCAGGCCGCAAAGCATCATGGGTTTGAGCGCCTAATTCCAGGCGTGGCTTCAATGACTCTTTGACTGTCGTGGAGTGAACATCTCTCTGAGTAAACAAATATGGAAGCATTCGAAAGACAAGATTGCAGGCTGCAATACTTCGTGAAAATAGCATGTTATTGCGCTATTGTTGCGATTCTCATTATGAAGTGTGAGTTACTATACCAAGACCAAGTTTACCTTATAATAATTATATTGCATGGGACATGCTGTCATTTTAGCGTTATAAATAATCCGCGAAGGAAGTGTGTTATTCCCAATAGCAAGGCTCTTCTTTGTTGGATAGCGTTAAATCTCCCAACCTCGTTCCCAGGCTCTTACCTATTTAGTAGGAAAGACCCTGGCAATAGCTGGTCACGTCCCAGATTCTGGGTGCTAAATTGAAATTGTACTTAGAGAGTGGTGGTAGAGGAATGAGCTTGTTTTACTTGGAAAATTACAACTTGTGTGTCATAGTATCGGGCGATAAAATTTAAATTTGCAACAAGAAATCCTGAAATATTTTGTATTTATTATCATACGTATCTCTATATCATTGAGTGTTGGGTTACATTAGTCAAGCAAGAAGTTGGATCAGATTTCAGTGTAGCTCAAGGCTTGGTAACGAAACACGCTTTGCTCAGTTCGCTGTAAGACCTGTAAAAATCTTCCGGGCCGAAGATTCTTTCTGTTGTCAGTATTGAAGTGTATCCCGTCCGATACGTAAACCCAACGGATTTACCTTATGTAGAGATGTGGAATTGCTATAAAATAGCAAGATCCTGTGATCCCGCCGACTGTGTGTAAATTCTAAACATGCTCACCCGACTGTGAAAAGCCCGTCAAATACTGTGATATATACCGTTTTGGCATCGCTGAGACTCTATGATCAAGAATTATGTCGAGGTATAGCTCTCTGTCATCAAGCATATGTTATTAAAAGTCAGGCAAATGCAAAGGCTCGACCGTTGCGTGCGGAACAGTTTGAATATTTAAATTACACACAAAACTATATATAATTGTGTAATATGCGTATATTTATTTATTTATTTAGCTTTGCCAACTAGGGCAGGGTCACCACAACAGCATATGCCAATTACTGTGGGCCCTTTTTACCTAACCCACCCTGTCAACTTTCCCTATGGGAGGAAACCGGAGTACCCGGGGAAAACCCAAGGCTTTCGGCAGAGCGTTGACTTTTACTCTTTTCACATGGGGACTGGGTTCGAGTCGCACTGAGAAGGTACTTAGTGAGACTCGAACCTGCAGCCTCAGAGGTGAAAGGCAAGTGCGCTAACCACTTGGCCACCGAAGCCCCTATTATTAGCCCCTACATTTATTTAATATTTATTACAGTAATACAACAGGCACATTATAAGTATTACTAGCAATAATCTTAGATTAGTGAAGTGCGTTCGGTGTAGAGTAAACGTTGTCCAAAATGTTAATACTGCATCATAGGCTAGTTATCAAAAGTGGGCCAGATTGGCTCATTTGGAAATAATTGATTTTTTATTGCATCGATCTACTTCTCTTTCCTGTTTTTCACAGGCTGGCATAAAGCTACTCATTTCTGCTGTCTCATTGTGCATTAGACTTTGTCTTCTTTTACTTATAACTACAAAATGTTTACTAATTAACTACACAGCGGGATGTCGCTTACCAGCCTGTCTTGCTTAGCGGGCCAGCCTGGCTTCCATACAAACAGGCCGTAAGTCTAAATTATGTGGTGGTATGTATTTAGCAAATAATAACAGCAATTTTCCTTGAATGTTTTGGAAAATAAGTTTGCTTTAATAGGTCGAGTGCCATATGACTGCGGTGATTGCTTTTTTGAATCCTCAGGACATTGTCATAGTCTTTATAAAGATCCTAATTGCCATCTTGATATTTGTATATTGCAGGCATTACACATTTATTGCATAATCCTGAGTTATATATTGAAAATATTTCATGGGAAAATTATATTGAAGAAATGTCACAACCTGGAACATGGTGTGATAATATCATTATTCAAGCAGAAGCAAATTTATGCTTTAAGCTGCACTATTCATATCGCTGATTCCAGTCCAAATGCTAATGCAACCAATGTAAACCCAATTAGTTTCACTAGAGGCAAAAAATTGTATTTAGAATAGAATAGAATAGAAACTTTATTTCACGAGGGAAAACGTATTAACCGTAAAAGTTATCTAACGTACGGCCCTCGCACTATTTTGATATTTACAGCATAAAAAGTATTAAGGATTACGACTATTTACATTTGAGAAAAAAATAATTAGTAACGAATACAATTACAATTTAGTAAATATTTACAATTTATACAAAATAGATCTTCGATATGGTTAGTAAGGGTAAGCTTGTTAAGAAAGAGCTTGTTGGCGTTAGTATATGAAGAGCAAGATGGCGAAGCAGCAAGTTGCTTACAATCGCTATCTAAGCAATTAAAAAGAATGGAAGCACTGTACAGAAATGTTCGTTTACCAGAGCCAGTACGCGGGAATTGGTGTTGAAGGTCATATGCGCAAGCTCTAGTCAGAGCCCGTTGTCGAATAGAAGATAAGAATTTAAACATTTGCTTAAATGAAGATGGAGCTCTGGGATTTGTGAGAATGTTAATTAGTAAGAGAAGCTTCCTAAATTTAACAAGATCAAAAATTGGGATTATTCGAATCTGGGAAAAAAGAACAGAAGGAGTAGAAAAGTCAGCGTCTAGAATAATACGTGCTGCACGCTTTTGCAGTCGAAGAATGCGAAGTAAAAGTGTTTTTGAGCAGTTTCTAAAGCAAGTCTACTATTGATTGTTGAACACAAGTTGTCAATATGCTTGGTCCAAATTAAAAACTCGTCAAGCGTTAAACCCAACACTTTTGCTTGCTTCACCTGTGCAAGTATGTTGCCATTAAGAGTAACTGATAGAGAACGGCCTGAAGTATTCTTAAGTTGTTGGGGAGAATGAATGAGCATGGTCTTGGTTTTCAATGTATTAGTCACCATTCGGTTTTGTTGAGTCCATGTTGAGAGATCTTGAGCAACAAGGTTAAGTTTCACATTTAAATCATGAATGGAAGGTGGTGTCATCTGCAAACATTGTGGATTCTGAATGTGAAAGTTGAGAAGGGAGATCATTGATAAATAAGATAAAAAGAAGGGGGCCAAGAATACTTCCTTGAGGAACACCTATCTTAACAGGACGCATATCGGATGTGTTTTTGAAATAAGTGCGTTGATGACGATCACTAAGATATGACGTAAACCATTTCAATACTAATGGAAAACCAGCGGCTTTAGTTTCAGGCAGATGATTGAGGCTGTTTCGAACAAAACTTTCAGATATTGGGGGGATAGTAAAGGTTGTATTTGGAGGAATTTTGGAAGAAAGAAAATTAGAAAGGTAGTCCCAATTTGAATTATTAGTGAAGCTATTAAGCGAAACAGAGTTTCGTATGTTAGTAAAATGATCATTAAATGAATCAGCGATATCTTTAGGATTAGTCAATGTCTTACCATCAATAGTCAAGTGGTTAGAAGAGTTAGAGTGATTGGAAGGAGCAAGATTACGAATTATTTTCCAGAGATGTTTTGGATTATCAAGATTAGCATTAATGGAATTAGTATAGAATGTACGCTAGCGTCTCTAATTAAGTGAACTACTCGATTACGTGCAGTTCTATAATATTGCCAAGACAGGGGAGTGTTCGTGGAGATAGCACAGTGGTGTAAATAATTTCGTTTTTTAATTGCCTCGCTTATTTCACAGGAAAACCATTCAGGTTGATTGACTCTTTTGACACGCTTTGTTTTTAATGGTGCGTGATTATTGAGACAATCATTAAACAAAGAGTACCAGTGTTCAACAGTTTCATTGATATCGGTGAACATATCTAAAGTATTCCATGGTATGTTTTTTAAATCAGCTACAAATTGCTCTGCAGAAAAATTCTTTAGTGATCGGTAATCAATGTACTTATGTTCGTTTGAATTTGAGAAGCTACTTCGTGTAGTCCAATTAACAAAGACTGGTAAATGATCACTAATAGAAATCGGTAAGGTTCCAAATGTGGAGACATTATCCTTATGAGAAACGTAAACGTGGTCAAGCAAAGATCTTGAGACAGGCCTGGTTGGCACGGTAATAAGCTGAACGAGATTAAACGTAGCAAGTAAATTTTTAAAGCGTTGAGTAAATTTTTAAAGCGTTGGTAATTTAGTTGAGTTGCAAGGCCTAACTCAAACTGAAGAAATACTCACTTCATTATCGTTCACTTTCATTAAGCATGTCTTGGAACTAAAATATTTTACGGGAACTAACACTATATCTTTTGAGGTTTGAATGTATTTTGCATTTTCCAAGTATATGCTTTCAAGGATATGCCTTGAAGGTGCCATTAAAATGATAATTGGGACAAAAACTGACTTAATATTTCTATATATGAAATTGTTATTAAATTCTACATGTCCAATGATTCGTTCAAGTATTATTATCGTTTATATATAGTATGATTTGTACAGTGTTCAGTGGCAAGCTAGCTACCATGGCAATTGGTCATGCCAAGCCAATAAACCTGCATCTATTTGAATAATGAAAATAATTAAAAACTTGTATACCGTATAGTAAATATAATAATTATTTACTCACGATTTCACTGATTCTTCAACAAGATCAACTTGGTAAGTTGGTATCTGTCGCATTGCTTTCCTTCGGTGACAACTGTCTCGTTATATCTTGTACTGTAGGTAATTAGCCGTAATGTAAAGTATTTGTCTGCCATGAGTTTTATCAATAGTGTGCGGTGGTCGTCCTCCTTGTTCCTTCCTGGTGAGCTGGAAACACATTCTTCCAATTCATCACAAAATGTTGACATGTGTACGTCCATAATCATTCTCTGCTTCATTTTTCCCCTTCTCGTTATGCTTCGACCTTCCTTACATACGTATGCTTTGAATACTTTTTCAGCGAACTCAACAACTTGGTAGACCGACTAGTCTACATCAGTATTTGCTTGACATCAGTATTGGTCTTCAGCGGATGTTGTGAGCTAAGTGCTGAGCTGTTTGAATCAATTAACCAATGACAAACCATGGTTTCTGCATGTGACTTGGAACAAAATGGAGGAAAATGCAAATGATTTTGTCATTTATGTTGTTGTTGAGTAGTTTTCTCAACGTGTGCGGTGAAAATACATAGCCGAGCTCGCTGCCACGCGAGGCGGTTAGCTCAGCAAGTTGCTCTCGTGTGCGGCGGGCTTAAACATGTTTATTTCTATTATCTATGTTCAGACCGAGCAAGTATCAGTTGCTGTTGACATCAGGATTTCTGTCCAGATATCTTTGGATGCGGGACGAAGGGGTTGTTTATATCCTTTCCCTAGAGGACTTCGTGAGTTCAGCATGTCAAACAATCTGTCAATCATACGGATAAACTTCATTGTACCATCTGAATTTTGGAATTCACTTAGTTTCATTGACAAATTTAGGAAGCCTATTGCATCTGCAACAGAGGAACTTAGCGTTTGTGCTGCAAGACGAACATTCATTTTGTGTTTTTGGAATTAGAAGGTATTGGTATCGAAGGAACTAGATTCTGTTCCGAAACACCACTTACTCGAACCGATCTGACCGCGTAGCTCAGTCAGCAGAGCATTGGGCTAGTATTCCAAAGGTCGTAGGTTCGATTCCCACCGTGGCCGGGCATATTTTTCAAGCTCGTCCGGTGAGGATATACACTCAGACTCAGAGTAACATCACAAACATCATGTTCACCAACACAGTACACAACACCGACACAGAAAAAATCATATTACTAGATTACATTGGTATCGAAGGAACTAGATTCTGTTCCGAAATATCACTTACTCGAACCAACCTGATCGCGTAGCTCAGTTGGCAGAGCATTGGGCTAGTATTCCAAAGGTCGTAGGTTCGATTCTCACCGTTGGGTGCTTAAATTTGGTCACCGTGGTGTCATAGGTTGTTGTGAAGTCGCAGCCTAGTTCACGAAATGTGCTGATGTTTACAGATGGCCATCTGTTGTGATGGCTGCTTCTGCTGCCGTTTCCAGTGCTACTCTCACAAGTTTTGCTTGGGCTTTCGTAGCCTGCGAACAGGCTCTAAAGCCGTATTGAGAGCCTGCATCGATGACTAATGAATTTGAATATCTGCGTCTCAAATCGTGACGCGAAATTCTCATTGGTCAGATGCTATAATTTATATTATTCCACTGAGCTCTATATATGTCAACTGCTAGCACTATGCATAAAAAATACATTAACTGATCAAATTGGTCTTGGCCATCTTATCTCAAAGCACGAAATGTTCTGTTTTGAGAAAACAGTATTTAAAACATTTAAACTTTTGCTTCGATATCTTATATTTCGAAAAACAGTATAAACTGTACGGTCTAAATTTAGTTTGCATGGTCTAAATTTAGTTTGCACGAAAGTTGTAAACAACACTATATAAGGATAGACATTCCATATTTGGAAAAACGAACGTTACGGGGCAGATATTCAAATTGATTAGTCATCGATGCAGGCTCTCAATTCAGCTTGAGAGCCTGTTCGCAGGCTAGGGCTTTCGAAGTCATTTTATCCGCAAGAAAATAGCCAATTGGGCATTTCCAGTTACTTCGTGCTCCGACTAACAAAAACACTACAGCTTCTGAAGCAAGGGTATCAGGTTTTTCAGGTGCAATTGACCCATAATCCACAAATCACACATATTTGACATGTTTGGAATCCCACAAGGTTTGCTTTCTAGTTGACATTGTATCAATTACTAAGAAGCAATCCTTCTTTTCTGGACAAGTGGATGCATCTTTTTGCATGCTTCTTTCACAAATCCAGGGTCACATTCCATAACACTCGACCACTTGCGAATGAGGGATGGGTTGGGTAACGGGAGAATGGATCGAACATATTGATACGCTTTAGGTGAGTAGTAGTGCAATGTTGTAGCGAATTCTTTTACAGGGTCAGAATATCTCCTTCCACATGGGCACAACTAACATTGTTTATAGTGTCTCTGAAAATTGTACCCCATCAAATTTAGCATTACTTCAACATCCTCTGGTTTGATTATTTCTTTTTGCTGAAGTTCGTGAATGACATCAACCATAGTTTGTTACCTTTCTTTAGTTCGCCTAAGTTGTTGTTGCAGGCTTATTTTTTTCCGTTTTAATTTTTCTTGTAGGGCTAGTTTTTCAGTGCCTAAACCTTCATCTACATGATGAAAATGCTTACAGTATTTATGGTCATGAGAAACTTTTTCTGCTGATGTTAAGGATGTAAAAGATTTTAGATCGCATGAAGATTCCACCGCTCACGCATTTTGTTAGATATGCCATAATTTGACGTACCAGCCACCAAAGGAATAGGGTGGGTACTGCTGTAGTTTTCAATCTGCAGGTCCCATTTTCATTTGGTGGAATGATGTATTCAAACTGTGGGAAATGGTTGCTGCAGATGCGACTATTATGATTTGCTTTCCATGTTGGGCAGTTGTTTGCAGCTCTTACTGCCTTCTCCAACTTCTCAAACACTGGTGGGGTCAGTAATGGAAATCTAAATGTGAGCATTTTAAATTTTGTAAAAAGCTCCATGAAAATAGCATGTATACGATATATTTGTTAGGATAGGTTGGGGACTTACATGTACAGTGTGACTACTGTAAGTGGGGCCACACACACAATACTAACCAATCACATTTCAGGGTAAAAATATAAAATCAATAAGCAGCGCATTGGCCAATCAGCACTTCATTCTTTATTTTGATTGGCGAGCTGTAGGTTGACTGGATTTCTCTGTTTTTGTTTTGCAATGTGATTGGTTAGTGTTGTCTAAGTGGCCCCACTTACAGTAGGCACACTGTAATTTCAACTATCCTAAATAAATTATGGAAAGTAGAGTACATGTAAATTTATTTTGGAGGACTTGAAACCTCTATCAAGTCTATATATAGGTAGCCTTAATTTATATACCTAGATAGTATTTAACATTGAAATGACTAACCTGCGAAATGAAAACAATGTGTTTTTTTTACTTTGGTTGGGTTTTTTACCCTTTTTTATCTTTTTCTGCTCGTTGCAGCAGCTAGAGATAGCACAACAATAAGGCATTTTTATCTCGCTAAAACCAATTTTAAAAAACAATTTTTCGTCGACTTTAAAAATTTTAAAATGTACCGGGAATTTAAATATTTGCGCTCCGACTTTCAAAAAAGAACTGGGGAGAATTGGGGAATTTCCTAGCAAATTTGTTGTTTAGCAAAAATTCGCCGAAAAATTAGGTTTTTCGTCCCAAGATTTCAATTTCAAAGATTTAAACTTGGTTTTCTGGATAGCTCTAAGTATTCCGTATCAACTAGCTGCAAAAACGTTTGAGGTGTCTGCAGCTTCATATTTCAATTAATATTTAACAAATTTGAACGTGCCGAAGAAAACTTCGCTCTTCAACTCGCAAAAAAATAAGGTTTAAATCTCTCTACATTCACGAAACTTGTTTTGGAGTAAAGTTCGAGTATTGTTGTTTGTTTTAAGCCTTTAGTCTTGTTCAAATAAAGCTGTTTTGTATAAAAAAACCGGAGTTCTTTTGATGGTGTAATTTCGGCTTTTGGCTTTCATGGCGGTCTTCAATTTGGCTTCAAAGATGGCGGCCGAGTTATCGTTCCAGTCTTATTAGAGTTCACTGGCTGCTGCCTCCTCCGCAAACCCTCGTTGCGTCATGGGAAGGTCACGATCTGGTGAGGGCCTGCGGAATCTTGTAAAAAAATAGCGCCGGCGTCAAGTCAGCAAGTAAATTTCTACATAATCTTGAATATAAACAGGGTATAAAAAAGCGGCGTGAAACTTGTAAATTAAACTGGCGACTCTTAGGACGTGGAAGGAAGCATTTTTTAACAATACGGTTTGTTGTCCACACAAGTGTTGCACGAATAAAACTGCCTTCCTTAACGAAGCAGGTTTAGAACAACATTTATTCATTTTACAAGATTCCGCAGGACCTCTCGAAATCGCGACCTTATAATAATAATAATCTTTAATGAGGAAAGCTTTGTCACATATAACGTGATTTTCACAAAGGTCCTACACATTATATATACAAATAATCATGCAATTTATAAAAATCTAAAACTATTTCGAGTGTTATGACTGTGAATCTGACTACATCAAAGAATGTCTAGAGAATGCTCCGTAAGACCATTAACACACTTCCAGATATGAATGCAGCGATGGAAATTCCTGCGTCGATGTAAATCGAGCCATTTCAGGGCTGACAGCGCGTCAGTTGCCGATGAGTACAAAGGTCTATCTAATATTATCTTCGCAGCCTTGTTCTGTAGTACTTGGAGCTCGCCCATCAAAACAAGATTGTCCTTGTCCCCCCAGACCAAGTCAACATAGTCAAAAATTGGTAAGACTAAACTATTGTAAAAAAGCAGGCGAGCTTGGTGGGGCAACAAATGCTTGATTATGCGTAAGAGACCCAGGTTCTTGTTTATCTTAGACGAGATATATTCTATGTGATCAGTCCAGGTAAAATTTGTAGACAACATTACTCCCAAGTATTTAAAGCTAGATACAGTATTAATATCAGTATCAAAAATAGATAATGATAAAGAGGAGACATTCCCGAGCTTCCTGTTACTGCCTATTATCATTGATTTAAGTCTTGTCAAGGTTCAGGGTGAGCTTGTTTTCACGAAGCCAGTGAGCAACCCTTAGGAGATCCTCATTTAGCTTATCTTCAAGCAGCCGTGGATCTTTGGAAAAGTAGTACAAGACCGTGTCATCAGCATACAGCGTTACTTCCGAGTTTATAACAGCATCAGGTAGGTTGTTTATATAAACCACGAAGAGCAGCGGACCCAGGATGCTTCCTTGGGGCACACCGACAGTTACTGGGAGGGCATCAGATAATTCATTGCCACAGGAGGTTCGCTGTTTCCGATTACTAAGATAGGATTCAAACCACTTGATAGAACTGGGCGAAACCCCAATTGCCGATAATTTAGACAGCAAGATACAGTGGTCCACAGTGTCAAAAGCCTTAGTCAGGTCCAAGAACACCGCGCCACAGAGGTTCCCCTGCTCCATGTTTAGTAAGACCTCGTCCGCAAAATTAGATAAAGCTGTAGTGGTAGAATACTTGGGACGAAAGCCGAACTATTTACTGGAGAGTAGATCTTGTGAGTTGAGGAATTTGTAAAACTGAGAATGAACAACTTTTTCCATAATCTTGCTGAGTGTCGGCAGGATTGAGATGGGACGATAATTAGTTGGATTTGTCCGGTCGCCACATTTAAATAAAGCGCTTACTTTAGAGCACTTCCATATGTCAGGAAATTTACCGGAACTAATAGACAGATTCAGTAACCGTGTAACCGAGCGACAAATCGCACGTGCACCATATTTCAAGAGTCTAGCACTAATAAAATCCAGCCCAATAGCTTTGTTTGTCTTGAGGGACAGCAAGTGATTGAGCACAATGTCTTCGTCAACATGGTTTAATTGAAAGGCGGGAGTCGGTTGTGACATGACGGGCGTTGACGATACGACAGCAACTGCAGAATATATTTTATCAGCCAGAGTTTTCCCGATTGAGGTGAAATGAGAATTCATTGCAGCAGCAATGAAAGATGGAGTAGTGTGTTGAACACCTTCCGTCACGATGCACTGCGGACTCGAGGATTTAACATTACGCGATGAAGCCTCATTAACAGCTTTCCAAATCTTTCCAGAATCCCCTTTCGCTTCATTAATCAGGTCGCAATAGTACTTAGATTTTGCAGACTTGATTTCACGGTTGACCAGGTTTTTTAGGCTCCTGTATCTAGCCCAGTGATGAACAGAATTCGTTTTAACAGCTCTACGATGGTGAAAGTCGCGGTCTTTCATTAACTCATTGATTTTATTGTTAATCCAAGGTATAGGAACACCCCTCACTCTACGTTTTTTTACAGGGGCGTGTGAATTAGCAACTTCTGTAAACAACGTATTCCAACTAAGCACTGCATTGTCAATATCGTCCTCGTTTTCAATAACATGCCAAGGCACATTATTGAGGTCCGCGACAAAGCTGTTTGTATTTAAATTCTTGTATGAGCGGTATTCGATTGTCTTAGGCGGGGCCTTTGTTATCCCAGACTTTAGAACACAATAGACGAGATAGTGATCATTAGCGAAACCGAAACAACACCAGAGTCAGTGATGCGATGATCATTATTCACTAGAATCACATCTACGAGGGTACGAGGGTACGAGTGGTTTCCGTCACACGCGTTGCGTCGGTGATGAGCTGTGTGAGGTCAAAAACCCGCATGAATTTCAACTTCTTCTTGAATTTCTCTTTGTTCCTGGAATGCAGAAGCATATTAGCATTAAAGTCACCGAGCAACACAAGATCGCATTTATCCAACTTGATGTTTTCCATACATCTATTTAAATTCGAAATAAAAGCCGAAAAGTCTATATTCGGTGCTCTATATACGCAAGAAATCAAAGTCGATCTACATTTTGCACGGGTAATTTCAATCCATAAGCACTCGTGTTCAGTTGAGTGGAGATCATTTCTCACTTGAAAAGGCAATCTCTCCCGTACATAGATCGCAACGCCGCCATAACCCTTGTTAGTCTCTGTCCTGTCCTTTCGAATACATGTAACCTGAGTATCAGGCCCTCGGTATTGAAGAGAGCCTGACACAATTCGCCTCTACGGGCTTTCCACCCCCAGAATATCAGCCAATTAAAATTATTTCCGGTTGTAGCATATTTCCGGTTGTCCGCTACAGGTATGTAAATACGCAAATTCCGTTATTTGCAGTTTTATATAAATTTGAATAAATACGGAGAAAAATCGGTATGTTTTTGTCAAAATATCCACATGATGGAATTCTAAGCGTAAACTATGCCTTATTCGGGGAACCATAGCTCGATGGCTTTTTCCAGGAGTCTATTAAAAGAGACAACATTCGGCGCTCTGAATAGGATTTCTTCTTCCTCGGTCCTCGTGTCATGTTAATAGTTTGTTCGAGACAGCTATTCGCTTCAACTGCGTCTGACACAGCGGCAATTGTCTTCAATTTCTGCCTGATGTTGGCATATTAGTTCGAGCGAGCTGACTACTATATCCTTGCAGGTCTTGGAAAACAGCTCGGCAATAAACTGATAAATAAGGCTTCAGCTTTTTGGAACTAAATATTTGAAAATTTTCGACATCCACATATTTTCGTTCTACGGCGACTATTACGGCGAGATATTTAGACACGCTTTCTACTATGACTATGTAGTTTTAGTTTTATACCGAGTAAAATGTTGCTGCAAAAGCGTTTTCAACGTCTTTTCGTACTTATTTTGTCATTTTTAGGCTTAATTAATTGAAAATATTAAAATTTCAGAAGTAAAGCACTTTTAACAGTATATTGACAAAATTACAAATTCTATTTTTGGTGTTTACATACGCCGGTCATATATTTCCGGTTTGAATCACATGATGCGTTTTATCGTCTCTTAGCCAATCAGCATAACATCCAGATTCTGGATGTTGAACATGGCTTTTGAGGCGATTCGTGTCAGGCCCTCTTTCAATACCGAGGGCCTGATACTCAGGTTAGAATACATGTGAAGCCTGGGAGAGCTATCTCAGAGTCTTCAATGGAATGATTAAGCATAGTTAATAGAAATAATAAACATGGTTAGGAAGGCCGGCAAACTTCAAAGGCTTAGCGCTGCAATGTTGACGGGGTACTTCCGGTTGTAATCGGAGTGCACAGCTTGCAAAACAATGAGTGTCAGATGACATGTTGCCATTATGGGTTTTGGGTTACAGTATTGACACTTAGTGAGGAAACATATAGTTTGAATTGGGCAAATCTTGAAAAAAATGGACTCCGGTAGCGAAGAAGAAAGTGTTTTAGACGTTGGGGAAGAACAGTTATTTGAAGAGGACTTAGAAGTTGACGAATTCGCAGAAACTTTGAAGCTAATCGAATCGAACGCGAAGAAATTGACCAGCAATTGTTGGACGCGATCAGCGAGGTTGGTGGTAATATGTTCAAATGCTACTATATTCCATTTTGCCACATGGTTATATCATGGTTTGTTTCTTGTATAAATATAGGTAGAAGGAGCGAAGCACTTTCAATGTCCAGACTGCCCAAAAGTTTGCAAGTCAAAGGGTGGTTTAACCAGGCATCGTCGAAGCAAACATCCTGATAAAGAAGAGCTAACAGTGGCTACTATAAACATTCCACCTATAAACATGGAGATTATAGCAAAAATCATTCTGAAACTGTCGAGAAACTGCGAGAAGAAAACATTTATCCAAAGGAAATTCTCGACATTATATCCAAATTGAAGCCCAGTGAATCCTTTCTCAAGTTCATAACCAAGGTTTTTCGTTTGTTCTGCAGAAAGCTCAACCAGGATAGGATGCTGGCATTGTTTTATGGCGAAATAATCAAAGATTGGAGGGTGTACTTTCCGCCTTTGACAATCAAAAGGCTATAAATTTTTGCTAATTCACCTCCCGCAAAAGTTGGTTGTCTATCACAAACTTGCAAGCAACAAGCAACGTGATGATCAGGTAAGGTGTACTGTCAATGTTATTTATTAATATATGATGTTTGTGCTACCGTGGTGCTACGTGGTGAATGTGTGGTAAATTTTGATTTGGGAGAATATATTAAAAACAGGAACTAAACTAGCAAAACCATGGCCATGCTAATAAAAAATACCACCTGAAATTACGAACACCAACCAAAAGTACAATAATGCTTCCTATTAACCGATTGAGTTGCATTGCACCCTACTTTATTATTTTACTCTGTCTAACACCAGATGATTTTACTTGTCAAGGGGAGAGCGCTGGTGCTTAATGGTTTAAATACATTAGGTCTGCTGGGCCTATGGCACCTCCTTTTGGGATGGGTAAATTTACACAATTACACTATAGGAATTTCTACAAATTCCCTTCAACAATCTGCCTTTAATAATTTTAGGGAGAAGATGAAATTGGTTTAAAACCAGAAGAAATTGGTCCTCTCTCCTATGTTACTCGGTATGTCCTGCAGTCCCTCTACAGGAAAAGTAAAAACTCAAAGCACTGGAACTCTCCTCGTAGTCAGGAACTGCAGTTTCTACTTCAGTCCCTAAAACTTGAGGAAACCAAAGAAGACCAATACATTCAGTCTTTATCAAGAGGCGGTCTTGGACCCCAAATGAAACAATAAACAGAACTAATGTTTCGCCAGCACCTAAAATTGAACAAGAGTGCATCTGTTCCCACCGATAAAGTTGTAGACCAGGTTCTTGCAACACCTGCTGTGACAAGTTTATGGGAAAACATCATTACTGATTTGGATTCTCATTCTGATTGGCTCCATCAGCAGTAGCTCTGAGGTAATAGTTACTACTCTGAGCAGTAACTGTTGCTTTTCTCAAAAAATGGCTGAAAATCAAACAGAAGTAAATTATTTATTCGGTTTGTTTCAGCTCAGTGAATATAGGCTTGTAGTTGCCTTCAGCGATTAATTGTTAATTAAGTAGGCCAGTGGCAAAGCCAGCCTGGGAATTTGGTCATGCAATGCAAATTTTAAATCATTCATTTCTTTTGAAATTGAAAATATTTGCATAGCATGACTAAATTGTCAGCTAGCTTTGCCACTACAATAGGCAGAGATTTTTTGTTAATAGAAGGCTCAATAGTTTGTGAAATCTGAAACACTTACTGTAAATATTGTGTATAGTAAACAAATTATTTTAATAATATTGATATTATTAGTGCATTTAACAATGGGCCACAGAATAAATATTTACACATAAAGGCAACTAAAGTCATGTTGAAATCCTTGAAGTTTCTGACCTCATGCACAGGACCGTAACTTGGCCTCATGCACAGGACTGTAACCTGGGTATTATTACAGCTGGGGGGTGTGAGCTTATTTGCCCGACCAAAAGGGCATGGTGGAATTCATGCCTGATGGACATTTCAGGTGCCCAAAATTGTTATTTTTCAAAAAATTATGTAAAATTTTTTGCTGAATTACATTTTTTGTGCCTGATGAGTATGTCATTAAAATTGACAGACAAAACTGTAATGGGTGGGGGTGTCACCCCCCCCCCCCCCCAATAGTTACGGCCCTGCTCATACATGTCGCCTCTGAATCGTTTCGGTCAGTATTATTTATAATAGATGAGACCGGGATGAAAAAAACTCAGACTGGTCTGAAGTCATTCCGCCTGCTGGACCAAGCCGACTGACTTCAGACAGGCATGAATTCAGACCGGGATGAATGTAAACACAAATACATTTCAGATCGGTCTCGGCTGTAACCTTGACATTGGAACAACACAAGCTAACAAAAGCCATCTAGAAAAGAAAATTGCCTGGCAAGAGGAATAAATGGAAATTTTGTGATTTTCGTACCGGTCTCATGTAAACATGTTGACTTTCAATTTTCATTCTGGTTTGACTTGGTCCTGGTCTCATGTAAATGGGGCCTTAGAATAGTATAGTGCATATTACATACCCAATGATAAAAGATTACTTTTTACAACTTGCAACCCAATTGAAGTGAACACTTTGTCAGACAGTTCAGAAACTTTGCTGTTTCAATATTCTTACTGTTGAGTCCTTGAAAAAGTTCCTGTAATCACGAAGGACTCTTTCACTTGGTAAAACCAAGACACCGGATGATGACAGTTCTCTGTACACAGATGGAGATTTGGCATGAATAGAGAGACAAAAGCGAATCAGGTGGGGATGATATCTTCTGCCAAACTTTGGGGAGGAAAGTAATTTCTTTTGCTGCTGCCAGAAAAAGTCCATGTGTGGTGTTTTCTTCAAGTCAGCATTGCCCAAAATATTAAGGATGTCACCCTCAAGAGATTCATTGACAGTGATGCTATTCGAGTTTATCTCCTTTTCCAAACCTGAAAGTCTATCTTTCAGACCCTTTGCCTCGATACGCTGTTGCTGTATGGTAGCAATTAATCGTTCTTTGCTAGAACCAGATAAAGGAGCTTTCTCTTTCAATGATGTTGCTTTTTTGATAACAGACTGCTTTTGTCTTTTAACTTCTGACGCGAGGACCTTGGAACAGCTATCACAAGCTTCCTCGCCAGACGTTTGCAGCATAAGACAATCAGCTGATCGCAGGTAAAGTGACACCTGGTATGGTGTATCTTTGTCACAGTATACTTCCGGACAAAGCGGAACAGTGTGCCTTGTCACTTCAGATACACCATCAACAGGGTCGGTTACATGTAGTAGAGTGGTGGTGGAGTCGGTTAGTGGCAGGCCAGGGCAAACATAAAGATTCCTTATCTCAGTTATCAGTGATGCAACTGATACATAAGTCACTGAGTGTTTATGTTCCAGGTAAATGTGGTGATTTTCTGGCAAAAACCAACCAAAAGCTGCAACAGTAAAGCCAAGACCAGAATCTACCTTCAGAGTGTAGAGTGGTAGTGCATGCTTGCCATCAAAATAATCTAAGCTGAATGTATTTTCATCAAACTTTCGAGACCAACCCGTCAATCCAAGCTTGGAAACCTTCGATTTCAAATCGTTTATGTCCTTATAAACTTTAGAAGGCACCAACTCTTTCTTTTCTATAATCCGCCTTGATGTCGAAGGCTTCGATTCTTCGTGCGATTTCTTGGGTAGATTTATGGTTGGAATAGATCCCCGTTTCAATGTCTTGCTTTTTTCATCTAAACAACAATATTTTATTAATATACAATGTTTCATTGTTCACATATTTGTTCAAAAACAGCGAAGGTCAGCGAAGCATTGAAGCTCGCAACATATTGTAATAAGGCTTGAATATTCATGACTTAGATAAACACAAAGAAGTTAGGATACTTACGTTTATTTAAACAATTCTCCTCAAAGTGTTTTTCGCAGATATGTAGATTCCCAGCGCTTATTTGACGCCGCAAATCTTTGTCGATCTCTCGATTTCGGGTTATAATTCGCACCCACTCTTCGCGTGTTTTAGTCGATAAATCGTCTTTGCCTTTCGGAATAGAAAATATACTTATACCAGAATGTCTTCTGTTCGAACTACAGCCAAATATACTACAATTTGCTCCTACCATCGCATATAGCGCCGGAAAATGCGAAAAAACCAAGGTGGTCCTTAATAAACTCTATTAATGAATGCGCCATTGTGCACTCGGATTTCAATTACGACGAGACAATAACATATGTGATCACGTGACCCGGCCTTCCTAACCATGTTTATTATTTCTATTAACTATGCTTTAACACAATGCTGCCAGTGCACATTTTTGCACAATGGACACTAGAAGGTTTTGTTATGTGGTGTTAATTGGAAACAAGCCAGTTCAAGCTAGCTCACGTCATTTAATACCTATTATCCTTCGTATTAAACACTACCCCCTTCTCCCATTTCAATTCTGTGTTCGTGGCTATTTGCTTTGTTCTAGCCTTGGTATGATCAAACCAATAAACTATGAGAACACCACCATTGAAAAGGGGTCAGGTCAGTTTTATGACTATCAGCCTTTCCAAATTCTTGACGTCTGTGCTTTCACCCTTTTGACATTACAATATATTTTCTGGTAACCAAATCATTTCAATTCGTTTTTGCCTAATGAAAACATGAAAAGTGGTAACAATAACTAAACAGGTGGGTATATGGAGGTTTGCCTAGATAGTCAGTTATCATGATAGCCCACCAGAACAGTCAAACAAACAATAACATCAAGGTGAAACTTGTCATGTTAAAGCGAGCTAGCTTGGATTCACGCACAGTCTTGCTTTCTAAAAACACTCCCTAACAACATACAGTAACTTGTGGTGATGCGGGATGGAATGGCCATTGTATCATTATTTTACAATCACGAAAATTTCCTTATATGAGACTATAATATTTCTGGTTAGTCTAATGTGAATTCGAAGAATATATTAATGGCTTATTCAACCTTTATCATTTTTTGCTTGTCTTTGCTGTTTATATTCATAGATGCACTCAGTTGCCAAATTGTAGCAACGCTAGTTCGACTCTAATTTGTCTGAGACTCTAAAGTCGGTCGCTGTTCACACTAGAACGACTGAATCTCTATACCTATGCTATATATTTCTAAATTGATTTAGCTTATTTATGAATTAAATTATTTTATCTTCTACGACATTTCAAACACGGAAAATGGACATGCAGCGAAATTGCTATCGCCTCGTGAATTATCTCAAGCCTCCGTTTATCATGCCTCAACAATAGCCAGGAATCGCTGCAAGCTTTTGTGCTGGCTATTCCAGTATTCTGCTAGTTTCTTCAGCCCTCGTATTTACATTTATCTGACGAAATTCTTGCCTCTCTTGCAATTCACTCACTATTGGAATTTCAAACTTGAAATTTTCAAGTTTGTGTACAGTACAGGTATGTGCAGAAGGGATGCGCTTACGGTGACACTGCTCCTTTAAGTAGTTCTTGTCGGCGGCGGTGTGGCTCTAACTTTCAAAGGTGTTTGGACATTTGACTGTTATAATAATCTTGTTATCAATTTCTTTCCTTTAGGTTTGCAGATCGTTTTTCGGGCCACCACAAATTATTTCTCATTGTGTTTATGGCGCTGTCATTTTACACGACTTTATCAATCTGCTATGTTTTCACTGGAGTTATCTCATTTAACAAGATCGTTGTCTACATCCTGTTTGGACTGAGTGGTTTCTTTCTAAATGGCACTATTCCATTATTCTTTGAACTTGGTGTAGAGATCACTTACCCGGTAGCTGAGGGAATAACTGCTGGGATTTGTTCTTGTGGAGTTTCCGCTATACTTTTGTTATTTGTAAAGGAAACATATCATAGGTCATCAGTCGATAGGTCAGGAAATAGTTTGAATCAGCAAAATGTAAATTCCTGAAACAGACCCATTATGTAATGGCTTGGGTAGCTCAATAATTCTTACGACCAAAATTATTTTTGTAAATTTGAACTCAATAGCGCTGTCCACAGTAGCTAAAAATAGATTCTCCAAATGAAGATAAGTTGGTCTAAATTGACGTTTTTATTTATTTTATCTGTGCTAAAACGAATTCAAATTTATCCCAAATTACAAACATGGTTAATGCTAAGCACTGTTGCTGGGGAACATGTCCAATTGATTCGAGATACTCAAAAAAACTGCCGAAATCGCTTCAAGAAATGAGAGCTTTAATAAGGTGTTCATATACCTTTTCCAAAACCGTCCCAGGGAATTGAAAAGTCGGACGGGACGGGAATGTCTGCAGTAGCAATGCGTTGATTGTTTTTGACTGCGGACTGTGCTGGTTTTTCTCCAAGAACTTTCGCAGCTAACCATTTTCCCCTTCAATACATCCGGCGAACGATGCTTTCCCGAACAACTATTAAATGCAATCACTAACTCGTTGAAGAAGAACTTGGTCTTGGCGTTTACCACTTCGCTATAAGCCTCTACATTTTAACCACCGCTTGAGTTAATGGACAGTAGAATCAGATGGATCATGCTCAAAATATGAGTCTGGGACGCCGTCGTTTTCAGTGAGAGCGTGTTGTTAAATTTATGAGAGAAGCAATAGTTTAACCGGACACAGTGTTAAAGGGCGGTTCTCTATTTTACAAAATTGCATGAATATTTAAAAATAGATAAATAAAAATGTTGTTTTTTATAATAACATATTTTTGTTGTAGTGTCAAAGCAAAACAGTATATAGTTTGTAGTTTATCTTTGACATTTTATAAAAAAGTTTAAATATGTAGTCAATATAGATTATAGTAAACAATCCTAGCTTCTTTGGCTTTGGACTTTGCTATTAATAAAAGAGACTTCTAAAGCAATAAAATAATAATAATAATAGCTTTATTCATCCATCTTAAGATAAAAAAGTACAATGGACTTACAATTACTTGTTTAAGAAAGTATATATGCTGTGGATATGTCTTTATATTACAAATTGTTGTAAGATAATTTAGAAAACTAACTAAGCCCCCCCCTCCTTTTTTTAAAA